ACCCAGGAAATAAGAAACATCTCCAAGCTCCTTGAGTTTAAATGCCTGATGTAACGTCTCCTTAAGTTCCTGTATACCAGCTCGATTACTCCCCGTGATGATCATATCATCAACATACAATAATAAGACAGTGAGACCAGTTGCCGTATGACGTAGAAACAACGATGGATCATTCTGACTCTGCACAAAGCCAGCCTGAATAACCGTACCATGAAACTTCTCGAACCAGGTGCGTGGAGCCTGTTTCAGTCCGTATAAAGACTTCTTCAACCGAAAAACAACATCAGGACCACCTTTCGAATATCCAGCTGGAAATGCCATGTAGATAGTCTCCTTTAGATCACCATGGAAAAATGCATTTTTGACATCGAGCTGAACCAGAGGCCAACTCCGCATTGCGGCTACGGCTAAAACACACCGTACAGTCTGCATCTTCGCCACAGGGGCGAATGTTTCATCATAGTCAATCCCGTATTCCTGGCTAAACCCTTGAGCTACCAACCTAGCCTTATAACGATCAAGGGATCCATAGGGCTTAAGCTTCACAGTAAACACCCACTTACACCCGACAACAGACATATCCGGAGTTCTGGGAATCACCTCCCATGTCTCATTCTCCTCAAGAGCATCAATCTCCTCTACCATGGCATTATCCCATTCGGGTATACCACATGCATACCTGTAATGAGATGGCACATGGATGGGCTCAACAGCAAAGGTGACATAGTCATTGTGACGCGGAGGCGGTTGGCCCTTGTTTGCCCCATCCGACTGACGAGGCCCAACAGGAGCTGGCGACGCCGGAGGTCCATTGCTCCCATCACTGCCCGAGCTCGAATCGGATGACCCGTCACCACTGCTGGTTGACGTGTCATGCAAGAAGAAATTGGACCCGCTATGGTTGTTGCTCAAAGACGTGCTATGATTGCTGCTCGAAGACTCATCATGGCTGCCATTAAATGACGACGCGCCCACCGATGAGGGATGCGCTGGACTATCACCCCCGTGCGATGAAAGAGAAGGACTAGGCCCAGTGGGAGGCGTACCAAGGGAACCCGGCATCATGGAGTTTGCAATGGCCAATGTCTCAAGGAAAGAAAGACTGCGGGCAAAATCCTCACGAGAGGAATCCTTCTTAGTGGAGTAATACATGACATTCTCCATGAATATCACATGATAAGCAATCCGCAACCTCTGACCCTCCTGTCATAACAAAGATACCCCTTATGTCGATCACTGTACCCCACAAATACACAACGTGCTGTCTTGGGATCTAGTTTATGGCGCTCCTTACGAGGAAGAAGCACAAAGCATAAGCAACCGAAAACACGGAGAGCACTGTAGTCAGGTAACTTGGAATAAAACCGTTGGTAGGGAGCAGAATTATCCAAGACTGGAGTAATCTGTCGATTAATAAGATGAACGACAGTGTTAGCTGCTTCCACCCAAAATCGCGCCGGAACACCCGACCGAAACAATAAAGAGCGAGTAAGTTCGAGGACATAGCGGTTTTTACGTTCAACCACGCCATTCTGTTGCGACACTCCTGGGCAAGACTGCTGACTATGAATGCCATGCGTACGATAAAAGGCAAGTAACTCCTTCGAACTAAACTTCCCTCCAGGATCGGAACAAATAATCTTAATAGTCTTCTGAAACTGCGTCTGGATCATACGAACAAAATCCTGGGCATGGGTAAGAAGCTCTGATTTATGTCGTAGAAAGTAAATCCAAGTATACCGAGTATGGTGTTCAATAAACAATGCAAAATAAAGGAATCCATTTCGAGATGGAACTTGCGATGGACCACAAAGATCTGTATGCACAAGGTCAAATGGAGCATCATTGACCGTAGAACTGGTAGGAAATGAGCGTTGAGCAGCTTTGGCCTCAATGCAGCTAATACATGGGGGAGGAGAAAAAGAAGCAGCTCGAAATTTTCCAGGCAATAATTTTTCTGTAAACATCTGTAATAATCGAGAAGAATGAGGATGCCCCAAACGGCAGTGCCAGAGATCCCAAACAGAATTTCGAACATCCGAACCAAGAGAATTCTCAACAGAAACAACAGGAAATGAAGAGGGTTCCATCCTACAACTATCAAGGGAAATAGCAAGCCGATCAACAACACGATCAACTGCAGCCAACTCTCCGCTTCGACTAGGTGACTCCCTCGAACGAAGAGACTCCATCACATAAATGCGCCCTTGCTTACGACCCCGGCAGAGTTCCATCCCCGTCCTCGAGTCCTGCACCACACACCCATTATTATCAAATTTCACATCACACCCATCCTCGGCAAGCTGTCCCACAGAAATCAAGTTTGGAACCAATTTAGGAGCATGAAGAACCCTATCCAGCCGAACCTTAGATTCCACAATTCGACCCATCCCAGTAACCGGTAAAATAGTTCCATCAGCCACTTGCAAACGTTGAGAAACAGGACGAAGCGAGGTGAACGAATCTAAACGATTCGTCATATGATTAAAAGCAGCTGAGTCTAGAAGCCAGTGAGTGGAATTACCTGAACTATTACCAGTAGAAAAGGCCGAGTGCATAACTTCCTGAAGAGCCGAGTGGATCAGCCGAGAGAGCTCTTTCTTTGACACACCTGCTGCGGAAGTAGAGGCATCAGGAGTGGGCGCGGGATGCGCCGCAATTGTAGCATAAGCAACAGAGGTAGAACTAGGACCAGCAGGGCGAGGGTGAGACCGACGACCACGTTTAGGACACTCGCTCAAGATATGGCCAGCTTGACGACAAAAATAGCACCAATTGCGCTTCCGACAAAATGGTTGAATATGCCCAGGATCCCGACAATAGTGACAAAAGCGGACAGGAGCAGTACCTTGACCACTAGAAGGACCATGACTCGACCCACCAGGACCACCTAGAGGCGATGATGGGGACTGAAACTGAGGCCTGAAAGAGGTAGCCGCAAATGCTGAAGCATTATCCAGGGAGCGAGCAGAACCAGCATCGATCTGCGCCTGACTCTTAAGCCGAATTTCTTCCCGATAGAGCTCGGCTAGAATTGCATCCAACTCGGTCACATTTCGGTGAAGTAGAGAAGCCCGGATGGGCTCAAACTCGGGACGTAACTTCATAAGGAAGTTCATCGTACGACCCCGCGTACGTTCAACAAGAGTGGCTTCAGGAGTAGGCTCAGACGAGATGGTTGTCGAGAGAAGATCACTTTCGGTCCACAGGTGCATTGCTTCCTGATAATATGAACGGATATCCATACTACCCTGAGTTAACCCAGCAATGGCAGTCTCCAACGCAAACTGACGCGACGCATTAGCCTGACAGTTGGTGGTGCACAGATGTTTCCACATATCACTAGCAGTCGTAAAACGACGCAAGCTCAGCCCGGTAGGTACGTCAACACACTCCAGTAGCCAAAATATGACTTGGGCATTCTCCGCCTCCCTATCAGCAAGCTCCTTACCCTCGGATTCAGCAGGCTTAGGGCGAGTACCCAACAGCAATGGAAGAAGGCGCTTGCCTTGAACAAATGTACGGAACTGAAATTCCCATAGTGGGAAATTCTTTCCATCAAAACGAGCCACAACAGCATCTGGTTTGCCTGAATCCATTGCGAAACAATAAACAGGAACAGCCTAGCCACCAAAAGTGAGAATACCGCAAGCAATGACCCTAGGCAGCCGAACAGAAGCCCAAAGTGAGAAGAGACAACGGAAGGAAAAGATGAAACCTGGACAGCCAAGATCAAATCCCAAATGACAATTATAGAAGCTCTCGAAGCCAAGGAACGCGCAGAATGAACACCCGCAGCAGCCGACAAGAATCCAAAACCAATGCAGCCGAAGAAACGCAAAGATGAACCGGACAGCAGCTGACAACACACAACAGTCGAAACTTCAGAAGAGAGGCTCTGATACCATGATAAGAACTCAAAGTAAACACAAAACGAACACAAGATTTACGCGGTTTCCCTGAGAATCAGGACTAGTCCACGGGAGAGGTAGAACTCTCCAGAATCAATATTATTCAGCTTAGGTTTTCTGTACATCCAAGATACATATATATATATATATATATATGTTCGGCCTAGGGTATAAACCGAACCCTAGTAGCTTATTTAGGTAACTCTCGTAATTACGTAAATTACTAAAAGCTACCTAAACAAACTAAGTCGTCACTTCAACATCACCGGTCTTCTCATTTAGGATCAACCGGTCGTTACCCAAACCGTTCTTTCCGCTTGCATACGTCCAAGTGTCCACTTGTAGGGCTGGCAGTTTGGACCGGGACCGGATTGAAAACCGGACCGTAAAAACTGGACCGTTTTAAGACCGGGACCGGATTTAAAACAATCCAATCCCGTCTTTGGTCCTAGAATTAGCAAAAAAACCGGACCAATCCAGTCCGGGTCAAAACCGGGTAAAAACCGGAAGACCGGATAATTACAAAACAGATTTAGAGGCTTATTTTGAGCCCAGCCCAGGGACAGGCCAACCCAATACCCATGGCCTCTCGGCCCACTTACCCAGGCCCACTAACCCATGGCCTCTGTTCTCTGTCGTCTGTAGGGTTGAGAGCTGACCAGCCTCTCTTCAGTCTTCATTCCGCCTGCCGCCTCCCTCTCCCTCGAGACTGAAAGCATCGCCCATCGCCATCGGAGACTCTCGGACCAGCGCGCCGTCGACGGAGTCTCGGAGACTCGGACCATCACGACGGCGACGGCGACCTTCTATTCTCTTGTTGCTGGTCGCGACTCGTTCTCTACCACGTGACGTCGCGACTCACGACCCAGCTGCAGCCTGCAAGCCTCCGTCCCGTCGCGACCCAGGAACAGGAAGCCTCCGCCCCCAACTCTGTCCCGTCGGCCGTCGCGACCTCCTCCGATCACCTCCACGACGCCGAGCGACCAGCCAGCCAGGAGCCAGCATCTCGCGCCCTTGGAAACGACCCAGAAAGCCTCTGCTACAAAAGCCGACCCTGCATCTAGTCGCCCTCCATTCGTCTACCAGCACAGGCGGCAACAACTGCAAAAATCAGAAATATGGAAGGAAGCAGCAGCTGGGTAAGAAAACTATTCTAGCTCTAACCTGACTTTCATAGGTGGAACCCGACATTGGACACATTTGATCATGTGTAGAATTTAATACGCCTGGAATCCGGGATCTTCACTTGTTCTTTTTGATTCCCGGCAGCATTCTATATTAGGGGACGATCGAGGAGAATTAGCTGCAGAAAGCCTCTTCTAAAACTGTTTGCTGTTTTTTGTTTGCTATTGTTGTTTGCTATTATTTTTCTAAAACTGTTTGCTATTGTTGTTTGCTGTTTTTTGTTTGCTATTGTTGTTTGCTGTTTGCTATTGTTGTTTGCTGTTTTTTTAGCAATGTAGTGTTTGTTCTGTAATGGAGAAGGAAGTAAAGTGCATTTTCTGATATTGATTGAACTGTGTTGTGCAGGGTAGTAAGAAGCGAGTTCCGGCATCAAGAGAAAGTGGAAATTTGCCTCCTCTTCCTAGTAAGAAGCGACCACAACCACAAGCTTCAAAGGCAGCTGTTGAAAGTGGGAATAATAGTGGAAATGTTAATGTTCAAGCCGCTGCCACTCAAGAACAAGAACGGCCAGCAGCTACCAACACCACAACAACACCTGAAATGGAGAAGACCAATAGGGAGTATGTGTTAAGGTCACCTGTATGGCAGCATTATGATTGTTACAAAGATGCCAAAGGCAAGAAGAAGGCAAAGTGTCATTACTGTGGAAAGTCACTGGCTGGGGATCCCTCGGGAAATGGTACAAGTTCTTTGGGTAGGCATACTCAAAGGTGCTTAAAGAAACAAAAAGAAAAGGGGAAGCAGTTGAATCTAGAACTCAATCCAACTTCTGTTGAAGGGGAAGGAGTTTTGGGGACTTGGAAATTTGATCAAGAATTTATCAGAGCTGGGTTAGTTGAAATGATAATTCTGGATGAAATGCCTTTTAGGAGTGTGGAGAAAGAAGGGTTTAAGCGCTTCATGGCACGTGCTTGTCCGATGTTTAAGATTCCAAGCAGAAGAAGTGTTAGAGAAGATTGTTTTAGATTGTTTCTTGAACAGAAGGGCAAGTTGAGAGATTACTTCAAGATCAAGTGTGGAGGAAGGGTGTCCATAACTACCGATAGTTGGACTTCTTGTCAAAATTTCAACTATATGTGCATCACTGCACATTTTGTTGGGAAGGATTGGAAGTTGTACAAGAAGGTGATAAGTTTTTGCAAGATTACAAGTCATAAGGGGATTGATCTAGGTGATGCAATAGCCGATTGTTTGGAGCATTGGGGTTTGAAAAATATTTTCACCGTCACAGTTGACAATGCAAGTGCAAATGACACGACACTTCTTCATTTGAAAGATCGACTTGAAGAATGGGGTACTAATATAGTTGGTGGAAAGTACCTTCATATGCGGTGTATTGCTCATATAGTGAATTTGATTGTGAGCGATGGTTTAGAAGAGATGGGCATGTCAATAAGGAGGGTGAGAGAGGCTGTGAGATGGGTTAGATCATCACCATCTAGATTGGCAAAGTTCAAGGAGTGTGTGGAATTTCACAACATTGAATCCAAGAAGATGTTGAGTCTAGATGTGCCTACAAGGTGGAATTCCACCTACTACATGCTTGAAGCTGCTGTGTTGTTTGAAGATGCATTCTCTAGTCTTGAGAGGAAGGATAAGGATTACAAGCCTGAGCTCAAGGCAAAGAGATACAAGAATCAAGAAATTGGTGTCCCTCAACATGAAGATTGGAAGAATGCAAAAGTTTTGATGAAGTATTTGAAATTCTTTCATGATTTGACTTTGATTGCATCCACTACTTCTGTTGTGACTGCTCATCGATTCTTGAGAGAGTTTGGAAGGGTATTATATCATGTTGAGAAAATGATGAATAGCACAGATGATGACATAGTTAGGATGGGTATGAAGATGAAGGCTAAAGTTGACAAATATTGGTCGGAGAAGGATTGTGTCAACTTCAGATTGAACAGGTTGGTTTACATGGCTGTGGTGTTTGATCCGAGGAATAAGATGAATTATCCGGAACATATTTTCAAGAAGATGTGTGGAGATGATAGGGCAAAAGTTTTGGTGAAAGAGTTGAATGATGAACTTGAGAAGTTGTTTGAATATTATCAGAGTAAGATGCCTCCCCCTGCTCCTTCTTCTCCTTCAAAACGTCGAGTACAAGTTGCCACTTCAAGTTCACCGAGGTCAGGTAGTGATTCTGATGAATCTTATGATGATTATGATCCTGATGATGATTATGGAAAACCTCAAGCTGGTCATACTAAGAGTGAGTTGGAGAAGTATCTTGTTCACCCTCGAGAATATGATGATGCCGAAGAAGAGTTTGATGTGTTGAAGTGGTGGAAGACTAATGCTATGAGGTATCCCATCTTGAGTGAGATGGCAAAGGATCTGTTTGCTATTCCTATGTCAACTGTTCCTTCCGAGTCCGTTTTTAGCACAAGTGGGCGTGTTTTAGATGAATTTAGGAGCTCTTTGCATCCTAAGATTGTGGAAGCTCTCATATGCAGTCAAGATTGGCTTAGATCAAGTTCTAGTGAGTTTGTGGAGCATCTTGATGGTGAAGATGATGACTATGAGGATCAAGAAGACTTCGTGAATGGTAAATAAATTATTTTGTAGTTTTTAGTTTTGGCCATATAAATGCTATTGCTAACAATTATATTTTTTTATCCATGTCATTTAGTTTACAATGCTATTATGGTGGATGAGGCGGAAAGGTGTAAGCATGTGAATGAACACGAAGGTATAAGTACGAGCAATGTCGGAGGGAGTGATGTGTTTGGCTCGAGGAGTGGAACAAATCAAGGAGGTGGATCTAATGCTTCATTTATTTCTCTTGAACCTGATGAGTAGAAATGGTTTGGTGAATTTGTTAGATTGGAGTGAATTTGGTGTTTGATGTCTAAACTTTGTTTGTCAACTTGTGATGCACTTTATTTTTATTTTGAAGTTTGAATTGGACTTTGAGTTTGTAATAGACATCAATGGTGGTTGTGATTTTGTATTGGACCATATTTGGCTTGATTTTTGCTACAAACAGGTTGTTTACATTCCAGGAAATAGGTATATGCTGCTGAATTTTTTGCAACATGGTCAAAACGGGTCAAAACAGGTCAAAACCGGATTGGGACCGGACTGGGTCAAAACCGGACCGGGTCAAAACCGGACTGTACCCAATCCAAGTTTTGGTCCCCATATTTCCAAAAAGACCGGACCGGACCGGATCAATTCGGGCCAATTTAACCGGACCGGACCGTATTGCCACCCCTATCCACTTGCATTACATCATTCCTGTAACCAGCTCAAAGTTCAGTTAGTTTATAATCTAAACAACAAAAATTTACTAGATATGTGATGATGATAATATTAAAGCATGTCCGGTGTATAATATTTGTATGCATTCATGATCATTGTTAACAATCGTTACTTTTTTTAGTCGTGTAGTTCCTAGGGATGGCAAAAATATCCGTAACCGTGGATATCCACCCGAATCCGGTCTAATCGGGTAGGGTAAAACCCGAACCCGAAAGACATTTAGTGGGTACGGGTAAAACCCGAACCCGAATATTGTGGGTAATGGGTGGGCATGGATTTCTCACTATCCAACCCGAACCCGCCCGATTATACAAATGCATATGTATTTTTCTCTAGATATAATCATTATTTTTCTCTAACATATTTTATATTTAGCATATAAGTATAATATTTTCATGAAATTGTGTTGTTTTAATTAATTTTTTCCATTCTAGTGAATTATTGTCGTACTTTTCCTCTTACGTAATGTGAGAATTCGTGTGAATGTTAACATATTGGTTGAAGTTATGAAGAGAAATGATTACCCATGGATAACCGTGGATACCCGAAACCCGAACGGGTATGGACATGGTTTTGATTTTCTACCCGTTTCACATGTGGGTATGGGTATGGGTAAAACCCGACCTACTTTGGGTAGGGTAACGGATATGCACTATCCGCCCCCGACCCGACCCATTGCCATCCCTAGACTAGTTCCTAGGATGATTTCGTGATCAACAAATTTGGCTGCCCATAAATTGGCGCTTAAATCCTTGTTGTTACAACATCTAGAGTTGGCATTCTTTGGTTTTTATAGTGGCTTCACTAGTGTGTTGCCTTAGGATGATTCATGTGTTAAATGTCAAACCGGTTTAAGCTATTGACCCGGTCAAGTAAGGGATTTAAAGTTAATGGTCTGCTCGGGGTCTGGCCGGTTTGAGCCGTTTTAAACATTTTCTAAATATATATACAAATACTTCTTTCGTTCCTCTTCCTCTCTTCTTCTCCCGCTTTAGGGGTCAAACAGAGGGGCTTTTTGGAGGCCGTTTTAAAGCCCAATTCAGATTGGACCGGGTCCAGCCGGGGGTTCGATAAGGGTTTAACATTTGTCCAATATTTAATCATCCACCACTATTTGTAAGAGAAACGAGAAGAGATAATTAAGTAATTAAATGTGGAATTAATAAAAAAAATATAATAGCTCGTTAATTGCAATAATAATTACCATGTAGGACATTGATCGATCCAAAACTATTTGAAGGGAAGTGATGACCCAACCGATCGAGGTTGTTCCTAGCCATAAACGGCGTCGAAGCGAAACTCTCTAGCTCTACCCCAAAATTTGTGGTCGATTTCAGTGCTATCTTCGTTGGGTGCAGCAGCCACCAAGCGATTATAAGCAGCTGCGTTTTGATTCTTCCCTGACTACCACGACGATGACGACGCAGCTCGTAGTAGTACTACTGCTTGCTTGTCCCACAAGCTACTTCTACCACTACGAGGCGGGCTAAAGCTCAAAGCACCATTGCATTGCTGGCGCAGCCGGTAATCGAAGGAAAACCAACCGTTTGCTTACAGATGGCGGCTACTGCAGTTTTTGCTGGCCGAAAGGTTTGGGTCGACATTGTCTTGCTATATGTGCTTATTAGCTAGGGTTTTTTATGCTCTGAAAGAATACGGTTTGAGTTCAGCTTTGGATCTATATATAATAAGAAGAAAAGAATGATGCATGTTTTCTGCTTGTAATTAATGAGCGTATGACTTAATAATGGCCAACAGCCTTACCGGATTTCCACATGCTTAAACATTCACTCCGGTAACATGCATGTGTACTGGTGGTGGTGCCAGTGTGGCCGAGGAAGAAGGGAAAATATTTGGTGATAACATTAATGTTTATTTTGTGGTTTGGTAGCCCAAATGGAATTGGTGTGCCCGAGTTGGGGTGAAGTGTTTGTCTATATATTTCTATATTTTTTAATAAAACTTAATCGGCTCATTAATTAGTTGAAATAAAATTACTCACTGCAAATAAAATATGTTTATAAGTTTTATTCAGTGTCTTAATCATTATGGAAGACTTATGTAACATGTTTGTTTGATTGATACATAAAAAGTAGGAAAATTCTTAGCTCCAACCTTGGTTGGACGCAAAAGCTCCAACCAACTAAGGTGTCAGTTTGTTATTGGTGGATTCACCTTCCTTTTTTCTTAATTTTAATTATGCTAAGTAAATCAAGAATAAAAATATTACAAACATAACTATGAATTCATCATTCATAAATTTTACACCGTGTATTTTAATCACTGTTGTAGAGCGATGTTACATGTCTAATAATAGAATCGAGTTACATATTCGATTAACCTATTATATAATATTAACTTATCCTACGGACGCTTTAATTCGTGTAATGAAAATTGATTTCACATTTGATTGAAATTGACTCTAATGACATAATCAAGTTACATATCCCACGTTTTAGTCCGAAACAGAGGGCCCGCCGGCAGGGGAGAGTGTCGGCGGTACCGGGCAAGTGGGAGGTGGCACGAGAACTGGGCATGAGCTCTTTCTTTTCCTGAAGAAAGCAGAGGGGAGTTTGGGAACAGATGACAGTGATCCACAAATAGTGAATTTTTTTGGGATTTTTAATTGGGCAGTGGATGACTTTGCATAAGGGTTTATCCTGAGGAAGTGCAATTATACGACTCCTGGTTTACCTATGTTGAGCCAGTTATGACCAGGTCAAGTACATGTTCAAGTAATGAACAGAGATTAAGCAAGATAAGTTATGAATCATGTATAAGGTTGCCAAACAAGAGTGTGTTTTGGTCTCATGGTTAATTACATAATAATTAGAGCTCCCCATATTATTACTCTGTTATGACAGATGATCCTTGACTCGTCCCGAATATTACAATAAAACTCTCAATTAGGATCCAAGTATAAACCTTAATTGGGTGCAATATAGGAAAAGTATGTTTAAATATCAACTCGGCCCGGTCCATGTACCCCTACTTCAATTGTTTGAAACATTATCTAGCGAATGGTTGTTTGATTGGAAACTACGATATACTATTCTAGCGGTTGTAAAAGCAATTGGTTTTGACTCTTAAATGAGAAGGATTCACCCTGGTGTAGCTCCCCTTAACTCGCTACCATGACTTGTCGGAATGACTGAAAATGTATGGTGGAGGTGATTGAGAACCGTAAGTGAAGTGTAGCTAGTGATGGAACATCACTCTCTCGGTCCCTAGGCCAAGGAATTTGGATTAACCTACCAAGGTTGCTCTCTTGGCCTAATCGACTAAGGACTACCAAATCTTCACTCTCAAAACGGAATTCGGACGACCAAAACACAATCAACCTAGGTGCCAACACAAACAAGGAGGGATGCCCTACATTAACCTAGATATGAGACATGATTTGCCTAAGAAAATCCAGCTTTACAAGCCTCTTTAACAAAAGGGGGTTTTCTCTCTGCCTAGGTTAGAATGAAAAATAGATTGATAAGCAAACACACAACACAATCTTCCATGAAAATACCTTCAAATTTGTATTAAAACACACCCAAACATAGACAATCATTCCATACAATCAATCACATGGTAGAAGTTAGGGTTCACAAACACACAAGTGAAAAGAGAAACTACTCCTTGCTAGGAGAGGGGAAAAAACAGGAAGAAAGAAAAAAAACCATCATGAAGATGCTTGAATCCTTCCTTGTGTAGAAGAGATCTTCCTTTGGGGAAGATTTTCTCAAATCCTTGCCTTGGAATGAAACCCTATCTTCTTCTCTCTTCTTGCTCGTCACTTTCTCTCTCTAGAATGTTGAGGAAGAAGGTTTTGTCACTCAAGGTCTCCTCTTTTCCTTCATATCAATCCCCCTTTTATACCCATGTCGGGCTCAAATTATGGTCCCACTTCATGGTCGTGAACTCAAGGCGGGGACCGAGATCTCGGGCCAAAACACGCCGCATCACTAATTCAGTTTACGATCTCTGGCTTGGTTTCACGGTCTTACGACCGTGAACTAGCTTGAGTCCAATGAGAAAAAAATGGCTCTGGACGCCTGGCGGTTCACGGTTTGCGGCTCTAATTCACGGTTTCCCTTACCGTGAACTCGCTACTTCAACCGCGATTTGCTACTGCCTCCACCCTTTGACCCGATTTTGCGCTTTTTCATCCAACTTTCGACTCCAGGGTTGGTTCCACCTGCTATAGACTGAAATGCACAAGACAAAACACAGCGTAAAACTAAACCTCCCAGAGTATAAATGCCTCAAACGACTAAGAAAACCGGGGGTGAAAAGTGTACAAATAAGCCCGAATCAATCCTTCATGAGGTATGTATACACCCAGAGTGGTGTCGTGTATGACCACACCCAGAGTAAGAGTGGTGTCAGATCCAATGTGACATACTGAAAGTGGTGGGTCCAACATGACCAGGCGCCTATAAGTAAAACATGATAAGATGCAAGTCAAGGTGGTTGAGTTTTTTTCTTATTGGGATTTTGGATGGATGAGGCTTGATCCTAGCGTTTTAGCTTGATTGCTAGTTTGAGAACGTTTTTCATGTGCATACTAGATTCTGATGTAGTGTGAGATATCCATAGGTGTGGAAAGTTGATTATATGTGTCTTTGTGTGTGGCTGTGTATGTAGTGACGATTATGACATGTATAAGTATGATATGCAGTTGCAGAGTATGAAACTGTGATTAGGGTTATGAGAATCCAATGCAAATGGTTGTGGGTATATATGTATGTCTATGAATGTAGAGATTCATATGAAATATTTTTCAGGTCTAGTTGCAAGAACTGTTAGCCCATTACGCGAGTCATTCATGTATAAATTTTATTAGGTTAATAGTAGAAATTAACGTAACACTCGAGATTATTTTTGCTGCGAATGTTGAACAAATTAATTAGTTAATATATATAGAGTGGGGTGTATAAATAATCTGAATAGAAAAATTAAGGCATTGACTTCTTCTCATGTCACCCTTCTAGAAAAATTGACATCCATTCTGAATCTAAACCATCGTCTTACCTTCAACAGGGTTCTCAAGATCTATGATCCTATCGATGTAACTAGCAAACCCCAGTTTGAGTGTCCTTTCACCCTATGTTGAATAATCCATGCTACCCAAAAGCTTCATCCTTGCATTAAAAGGAGTCACAATATTCGTGCAATACAAGCAATGTTCCAGCTAACTAAATCTTTCATACCCAGCCCCCCTTCTTTTTTAGGTGAAGCCAATGTTCTCCATGCAACTTTTGCTTAACCCGTTCCTTCCCCAAACCAAAGAACGTCAGAAAAAAACCTAATGAATTTGATCTATACTCTTCTTTGTTAACACAAAAATGTTCATCCAAAACTTCCCTAGGGAATACAGGACTAATGAAACTAGTTGAATTCTGCCAGCATATGACAATTTACTCGCACGCCAAGACCGAATACTACCAGTTAGCTTATCAACAAGCACTTCACTATCCCTACTTGACACCTTACTCGAAATCAAAGACAGACCAATGTATCTAACAGGTAGTTAACCCTCCATAAATCCAATGACTTTAATAACATTCTCTTTATATTTTGCAGCTTCTCCATCAAAGAATGCTTCAAATATTGCAAGGTTACATCGAAGACTAGAAAGAGAGTGAAACTTCTCCAAAATGATCTTTAACCCACACAGAAAACCAGCAAATCCCTCCATGAAGATCTACAGATCGTCCACAAAACAAATATGTGTAAGATCAATCAACTAACAGACAAGATAGTGGTTCCAGTGCAAGTGTAAACAAATACAGCGATAGTGGATCAGCCTGCCTGGCTCATTTTTTGCAGAAAAGAAACCAAACAAAGATCCAAATATGTTATTTTCAAACAAACTCCTATCCATTAAGTGAAGATAGCATGAAAAGACATGGCCTCCATCACACATAACAAATAAGACCAGCTAACATAGTCAAATGCTTATGGATGTCATTCTTGACTGCACAACTTGAGGCTAAACTTTTCTTGCTATAGTTTTGCGCAATCTTTTGTGCCATCATAATATTTTCCAAAATTGGTCTCTCTTTTATGAATGCCGATTGGTTACGAACTTTAGTTATGTTATCTTTTAATTTTTTTATGGTGGTTAAGAACAAATTTTTCGAATAACGTGAGTAATCTCTATTTTTTTAAGGCTTAATTGCAAGTTTTGTCACTCGAATTGCTATAAAATTTCACGTTTGCCACTCAAATTAATTTATTCCATTCATAGTCACTCGAATTAGTTGAACAGTCCAAGTTCGGTCACTCTCCGTTAACCTCCGTTAGTCTCCGTTAATGACGACCGTTAAGTGATGACGTGCTATAAAATTTCACGTTTGCCACTCAAATTAATTTATTCCATTCATAGTCACTCGAATTAGTTGAACAGTCCAAGTTCGGTCACTCTCCGTTAACCTCCGTTAGACTCCGTTAATGACGACCGTTAAGTGATGACGTGGCTAACAAAAAATCACAGTCATCATATTTTAACACTAAAAAACAACGACCCGACCCGCCACGTCATATTTATCTGCCATGTCAGCCCTTCTTGCCCACCCTGCGAACCAACCCAATTAATTGACCCAAACCCGAGACCGGACCCCCCTGAAAAGTAAATCGAAACAGGAAAGGGTAGGGCACATTCCCTTCCTCCATCGTCCTCTCATCCTCCCGCGGCACGCCTCTCCTCACCCAACTATTTGAAAATCGCCGAAGAAGGAGGGATGGAGGCCGCCGCGCTGCCGCCCTGGATCCCTTCCCCCAATATCTTCCTCCCGCGTCTCTTCTTCATCACACGCCGCTAGTTTTTCCTCTATTGCAACCCGACGCAAAATGCTAAATCGGAGCCGCGAAACCCTAAATCGAAGCACTTCTTTTCTCTGGCCGTGGTTGACGAAGGAGACAGAAGAAGCCCCTTCCGGTTTTAAAGGTAAAAATTCACACGTATTTGCTTCTTCTCGCTTTTATCTGGAGATGCGGAAAAGATGAGGGGTCATTGTCCTGGGGAATCTTTTGGGGCTGGAACTTTACCTTTGTTTATACTGATGGTGGAGGTCGTTCTTGTCTGTTTTTCCAGCTCAGCCTTACACGACAACACCATGGTGAGTCATGTGCGTGCACCAAATGCGCCCCAACCGAAATATGGTGAGTCAACTATCTCCTCACATATCTGGCCTTTATTGGAGTAAATGACGACAATTTTTTTTTTTAATTGAAAATTAGGGTTTTTGAGAAATACCAAAACCAACAGCATTGAAGTGGTTGACATGTCATTTTCCTGCTTTTAATACTAGTTGTTGGGTTAAAGAAGTTAGACTACCTCTGCCCCTTTACTGCTTTGGTCACTTTTAATAACTCATTCTCTCTTTCGTTGTTTGCAACAGGGTGCTTCTAGTGGAGTGTTTACATTTGAAGTGCACTTATCAGAAGCATTAAAGAAGAAGGGTGGCAAGAATTTTCTCAATGAGAAGTCTATAGTCTACTGGGACTATGCAAATATTGATGAGTTATCAACGCTTGATCTGCCTGACATATACTAAGATGTCGAGCGAAGATTGATAAGCCGAAGTTCTTCTTGAGCTCTCCTTCAACTGATACTATGTCAGAGATCACGTTAGATGAAGATATACTCGCCATGTCAACAAGTGCAAATGAAGAAGTGAGGTTCATCGTACTATATGCCATCATTAGGAAGACATTGTTGAGTTCATGGACAGTGATGAGGACAAAGATGGAGCTGCCACCAAGGGTAAAAAGGGTAAAGAAGCTGTTGTTCGTGACTCGGGTGATGATGCAGACTATGAGGAAGAAGATGACAGTGACTATGAGGCTAGTGAAGAGGAGGAGGACTTTAGCATAGATGACAATCTGCAATTTGAAAGAAGCGTAGCTGCAGATGTTGAAGCTGATTTCTACATCGAAGAAGACGAAATTGAGAAGTGCAAGAAGACTAGCATAGAGGCAGAAGAGAGTTCATATGTCGACTCAGATGATCGAAGGACAATTTGTAGCTCAGATGAAGATGAGGACAGTCATCAGGTGGAGGATTTTCGAGCTGAGAGAGACATGGAGAGCCCTACTTTCGATGTTTTGCAAAGATTTGGCAGTTTTGATGAGTTGAAAGATGCCATAAAACAACATGCTTTTGTGGAAAAGCGCCCTATTCGTTTCAAGAAGAACGACAAGAGGAGGTTGCAAGCAGTATGCGTTGATCCATGTGATTGGTATATATGGGCCTCCAAGATGATTCTTACAGATGCAGTACAGATCAATAAGTGCAAGCTACAACATTCTACAGATTGCCAGTGGACTTTTCAGGTGAAGTTTGCAACTGCCAAGTTTCTAGGTGAGAAACTTGCTAGGAAGATGGCAGCAGACAAGAATATGAGCAAGGGCTGCTCAAACAGATCTGCAAGGAAGACTTTAAGGAAGATGTATTGGATTCAAAGGCATGGAGGATTCGAAGGGCCGCTCTTGATCAGGTTAGGGGCAGTTTTAGAGAGCAATTTCGAGGGCTATACCACTACGCCGAGGAATTGAGGAGGAGCAACCCAGGTTCTACAGTGATCAGGCATCACAGCAGCTCAGCCAAAGATGTGGATGATCGCAAAATGCATGCCAAGTGACTCAAGAGAACGAGTGAAGATTAGTTGCAGTTTAGGTCCAAATGATAATTACCATTTTGAAGCCTCCAATTGGCTAGTAAATGTTGACGTTGAATGTTGCTTTGTCGTATTATCTAGCCTATTAAGTCATGGTGAATTGCTCTTTTGGAAAAACATTGTCCTCGAGGCTATAATTATCATTTGGACCTTGTAAGACTATAAGTTTTATGAATGACCATCAGATTTATCAATCTTCCAGTACATTGGAAGGTTCTTTTGCACAAATACGTGCCTTGTTGTTCCATTCGTGCTGCTACCTATGAGTGACCAATTATGAAACCAATTTTCAATTAAAGTGACCAAAGTTAAAAAAAATTCCATTTATAGTGACCAAAGTTAAAACAAATTTCCAATTATAGTGACCAAACACGGAACAATTTAGCAACTCAAGTGACCAAACATGAAACAATTTAGCAATTCAAGTGACCAAACATGAAACAATTTAGCAATTCAAGTGACCATAGCTGAAATTGATAATACTAGGTTACACATTGTCAACAACTAGACAGATCGTTCGACTAAACCAGCTACACATCAATAGATTACAACGGCTACAACCAATGCAGTTAAAAGCGCAATTTTACCTAGAAACGGAGAATAGATAAAATCATAAAGCGTAAAATCGAAGCGTAAAAACGTAAGTTTTTAATGCATCGTATAGAATACCTAAAAATATGTTAATTAGGACATGTCTAATATAAAATGTGAATATATATTCACATTGTAATATTCTTTATTAAATAATTACGATAAAGTGTTACACAATAGTTCATCAACACCACCATAAGAACTAAACTTTCCTCTTAAAAAGGTCAGAATAAGATAACCATACGAATCCTTAACTTTGAACCCAAAAAAAAAGGCTAGAATTTTGGTGATCAAATTGGCTAGAAATTCTCCCCAAAGAACAAAAAACTAACAAGCAGCACAGGCCAATGAAATGGAATCTACAAGCTGTTGCCATTTCTTCCTAGAAAGATTAATTAATCACAAACAGGGAAACAATTGAAACGTGACCAGAACAGCGATGCTGCAAAAGCAGATAAATGCTTCAAAAACCCAGCTTGCAATTGCGGTTGAGACAAACAGAAGCTTTCAAGATTCAAGGAAGCTAACCTAATCTTGCAGGTTGCAGCTGCGGCAGCCAGAAGGAGTGACAGGTGGAGTTACGGTGGAGAACAGTAGCTGCGGTGGAGACAGAGGAGGGTCGGAGCTGCTGTGGTGTCGTAGACAGGAGGGCGGAGGCCTGGTCGGAGACTTGCCGTCTAGGTTAGTTCCACTTTCGCCGGCGAAGATTTAAGGAGTTAAGGAGGATGAGGTAGAGGGTCAAGCAGCGGCTGTTGAGTTTAAGCTGGTGCTACAAGATTCGATTTAGGGTTCTTTACCCTTAAAAAAAATAGAAGCTCTCGACAGGTACAGCCGTACAGGCGATCCGTGAGCGGTCGAACAACATCCATGGAATCGTATAAAAGCGACTTGAAAACGAGTTCTTAACGTTTTTTTTACAATTTTACCGATTTTACTCACGTTTTTTTACGTTTTATTTGTCAAAAGTGATTTTAGGTACAAACTGAAGCGTTTTAGTGGTCTAGATAAGTAGAAACGTACGATTTTACGCTTTAAAGCGCGATTTTGACTGCATTGGCTACAACTACACAGACTTATCACTTTCCTATCCAAAACAAAGAGAATACAATAGCTCCTAAAATGATGAACGACACCATTTTCCGATCAAACCTGGACACCTCGTTGTTTTGCCTCTTCTCTAGCTCCCAAATTCGACGATGAAAGTTTAGCAACACATTTCTCATATGCTCATCAAAGGCAGGGTCAAGCCATCTGAAGTAGTATCATGCTCCATTTGTCTACACATCATCCCATAGAAAAAATAGAAGGATGAAAAATGCAAAATAATAGTCGAATTGTAACAGTAAAAAAGGAAACACAGGTGGATGAAACCTTACCCCATATCTGTTGCATCCATAAAACCTTTCCTGGATTTGCCTCAGTCCAGCTCGTCTTCAGATCTGTTGGCTCTCCACAGTGACAAAAGGGTGCCGCCATTGGTAGAGGGGAAGTGAGAGGAGGAGGAAAGGAACAAATGGATGGGGAGGGGGCGATTCTCGCGCAAATTAAAGAGGAAGAGAACAGATGGTTAGGGATTCATTTCTGAGGGGGTAGACTTATAAAAAGGGCTAGATTCAGTGGGTCGGGTCTCATGTTTGGGTTTGGGCCAATTAATTGGGTTGGTTCACAGGTTGGGCAAGAAGGGCTGACATGGCAGGTAAATATGATGTGGCGGGTCGGGTCGTCGTTCTTTAGTGTTAAAATATGATGACTGTGATTTTCTGTTAGCCACGTCATCACTTAACGATCGTCATTAACGGAGTCTAACGGAGGTTAACGGAGAGTGACCGAACTTGAACTGTTCAACTAATTCGAGTGACTATAAATGGAAAAAATCCAAAACTACCATTGTTTTAAAAAAAATAACAAAAATACCACCCATTCCCAAGAATTTCCAAATCTACCACTGTTTATTAAAAAACTGCTCCACTCATGGGCGGTTAAAACAGAAACCGCCCACCCAAGCGGCGGTTTACCATATAACCACTAAGTCGACAAGCGGTTTGTCTATTTTGGAAAAAACGCTCTTTGAAGGAGCGGTTTTCAACGCTGCCCTAGCACAAACCTCTTCCTCAGGGAGCGGTTATGTGTCGGCATGGTAAAACGCTCCACAGGGAAGCGGTTTACCATGTCGACACATAAACCGCACCTCCCCCAGCAGTTTGTGCCTCGTCAACTCACATCCGATATGTCGGCATGCAGGAGGTTGCACAGGTGGGGGCTGCATGCCAGACTAAAACCGCTCCTCCCTGTGATTTGTAGTGTAAAATTTGTCAATAAAAGGCAAATCCAGAAAACTCAAAATCTTCACTCCACTCCTTCTTCTTCTTCAAATTTCAGTTGTGCACCTTTAAATCATTTAGTTATTGCGATTAACGTTAATTCATAATTTTGTTTTGTATTACTTTTCATTGTCATTTGTGATTTTTATGTTAGTAACTTAATTACTGTTTTATTGCAGATGGTATTCCAAAGGTTCACGTTTGGGTTGCGGTGGAATGGTTACACGGGAGAGACCGAAAAGGGTGTAAGTTACGTGGGTGACAATTTTTATAAAATGAAGGTCCGTACGAGACCGATGCTTGAAGAGCTCCATCAACTGTGCACTGAGGTTACTTGCATGGATGGCACTAGAAGAGTTGATCGTATAGTATATCGATATCCAAAAAGATATGGCGGGTCGCTGTGGAATGAGGAATTCTTCATTACCACTCAGGAGGATGTTGATGCCATGGTCCAATTTTTGACCACCAACAAAATTAAACAAGCGGAGATGTTCGTTTATACCGAGGCGGTCGAAGGTGGTGTAGGTCATTCTGGAGATGGCCAAACATTTGGTATCCACGGTGAGAGTGTATTATACGAAGATCATCCTCACCAGGAGTACCAAGACTCGAGCTGGAGGCAGGAGTATCATGATGGAACTGGAGGTCATCATCAATCCTTCCCATCATATGAAGAAGAAGCTCAACAGGCGGATGGGAACCAACAAGCAGGCTACCGGTACCCACCCGAGTACAACTTCTACCAAAGCGGCGTTAGTTACCATAACTACCATTACGAAGCTGGTGAAGGTGAAGGTGCCTTTCATGATGATCATCAGATGGAAGAAGAGGTCAATTCAAGTCCAATCAATGACCCTGAGGTTGAAGAAGAGGAAGGCGATGTCAGTTCAGACAGTTTCGATCCTCTTGAAGGTGCTGATGATTCTGGTCCAGATTCATACGCAGACGGTGATGAGGTACCTCGTGAGCGTGTACCTATTCCGTACTACAATCGGATTCCAAATGAAGATTTGTATGTTGGATGCCGACATGGACCCGCCAGAGGTGCCAGTATGGGGTCCACTCACTTGCTTTACGAAGGACCAACAATTTGCAATGAAGAATGAGGTCCGACACGCTATTGCCACTGAAGCAATGACTCGGAGTTTTGAATGGAACACAACCCATTCCAGTACGAAGAGGCTGATGGTTAGATGCAAAAATCAAAATGAGGGATGCAAAGCTAGGGTCCGGGCCATCAAGAGCAAGATAATCTGCCATTGGGTCATATCCCGTGCGGTGAACACACACATGTGTGTCATCAATAACATCCCAAGGCCATCGACAGTTGAAATCAAGGGTGGTTGTCGCGGCTATCAAACATCTAATTGAGGAGTAGCCCGACCTATAGGTTAAAACCATCATTGCCGACATTTCTAGTCGTTATGGTTATATCATTAACTACAAGAAGGTGTGACATGAAAAACAGAAAGCAATGGCCGCCGTGTTTGGTGACTGGGAAGAATCATATGCATTCCTTCCCAGATTGATTTTGGCGTTGGAGGTGTCTAACCCTGGCACCATTTTCTCTCCTCGCTACCAAGATGAAGAAATTCAGCCGTCGGTGCCTGGTAACAAGCGCCATTTCAAGCATCTTTTCTGGTCATTCAAGCCATGTATTGATGGTTTTCCATTCTGTGTTCCTGTGATTCAAGTTGATGGAACATTCCTTACCGGCAAGTACAAGGGTACTCTACTGATCGCCAGCGGAGCAAATGCAAATAGAGCAGTATATCCATTAGCCTTTGCCATTGTGGAGGGAGAGAATACCGATAGCTATGGATGATTCTTCAGACAAAATTCAACTCCATGTCACCAGGCAGACGAACCTAACCATCATCTCTGATCGCCACGCCGGTATAAGGGTTGTTATCTTAGGCTTGGATCCATCCTGGAACTGGTCACAGAGATGGTGCATACGACATTTCAAGAGCAACTGGAACCATCATTTCAAGCGAAAGAAGCTTGCTGATAGTCTATGGTGGATCGGTAAGAGTTCTATTTTATTAGTCTATATCTTTTGTTAGTTGGAAAAATGAGGACTAAATCAATACAATACAACACTTATTTAGGCTCTTTATAAAGTAATGCATGCCTAAGAAAATGGGGTTTTAAGCGATCATCATGATATTCCCATTTTCTGGGAAAATCGGGTTCTAAGCGATCCTCGGATGCCCCCTTTTTCTGTCAAACAGGCTGTGTTTCTAAGGAGATGTATACCTCTCCTAAGAGTCTTACGACTGTACTTGTATTGCTCAGAACGGAAGCCTTGTTTACCTTACGCTTTTGTTCGGGGTCTACCGTCGGCGCAATCCATGGCAAATCCTTCCAAGCCCAAAATTGGATGATGAACATGGCCCCATCAATCTCCTTCACCGCTCTCGAACTGGCATTACAGAGGGAGCGGTAGCGATGAGTTAGGCAAGCAGATGCCCAGCTCAGGTTTCCCATATCATCCCAATCTCCAAATATGATCTTCAACCATGAATTGTTGATTAAATTGTTGGATTTTTTGGGGAAGAAAACTCCTCCGATCATGCCGAGGATGTAGATACGTGCATAAATGTCTTTATCACGCTCCAAACTTTCCTCCGTGAGGGGAATGCCTCCGACCTCAGGGTTGTGCTTACGCCTGATCTCCGATGTCAACCAAGTGATGGATACTTGGCCCTTGGACAATGGTGGATTAACATCTGCATCGTGATCTCCCTTTTCTGACGGACACAACGCCGTGACGGTCCATATAAAATGCTGCCAACCACTCATATTGGCAACAACTTTAACTGGTGGCGTAGAGTCCACACAAATAACATCGTCATCGATGGGAAAATCAGTTAGGATGGCAATGTCCTTAAGTGTGATGGTGCACTCGCTTTCACGAAAATTGAAGCAATGTGTCTCCTTTCGCCATCTCTCTACCAATGTTGTGATGAGTTAGCGGTCGATCTTTATTCCACTAAAGTGCCTAATCGGATCCAATCTTGCCTTTTTTAGAAATGGCAAGATGACGTTGTTCCATTCAAGCACATTCGTTGTACCCCTACTGCGGACTATATGGTATGCATCCTAGAGAAGAATTTAACTTTCACTATAAGTTGATGATTTATACATATATAAATCTATTATAACAAACAATATAGATTAATTAAATCAAGGTTGTTTCTGAGAAATATACATTATCTAATAAACATTAATATTAAGCTATACTAAAATGAATATCATTTTCGAAATTTAACTAAAATTATTTTTGTAGACACACATAAAATCAAATATATTATTTTGTACTTCGTATTGATTGTTTTCAATAATTTAATGCAATACAAGTACACTCGTAAGACTCTTAGGAGATGTATACATCTTCTTAGAAACACAGTCTGTTTGATAGAAAAAGGGGGGATCCGAGGATTTCTTAGAACCCGATTTTCTCAGGTCATGGGAGGATCATGATGATCGCTTAAGACCCAATTTCCTTAGACATGCATTTCTTTATAAAGAGTCTAAATAAGTGTTGTATTGTATTGATTTAAATTATTGAAAATAATCAATACGATTAACAATTAAGTAATTTATTGTACAAACAAATAAATTACGTTAACAAAATAAAAATTACAAGTGATGATAAATAATATGTACCTTGTGGTCGTTCCAAACGTCTCTTGAACGATGATTGTATTGATCGTAAAAAATAGTCAGATCAATCAGTCATTGATCAACATAATATCGTTGATTGTATATATCAACATCCGGCCCAGCCTATGATAGCATAACAACATAAATCAATTAGTATATAAATGAATAAACCATGGTAACAACAACAAAAATTGGGTAAAATGAGTACGTACCGCTTGATAATCATCATAGTAAATACCCTCTTCTTGGATAAAATCCGCCATTTTTTCAGGATTCGGACAGAGATTTGACGGTTTTTAGTGAAAACGAAAGAATTTTTTTTTGAAGGCAGATCGGACTTAGCCGCAACCAACAAAACAACTACTTCCAAGGTTTTTCGGTGGGGAGGGGGATGGGTAGAGTGAGAAACTTAGAGAGAGAGAGAGAGAGAGAGAGAGAGAGAGAGAGAGAGAGAGAGAGAGAGAGAGAGAGGAGATTAGGGGTTTGGTGTGCAGAAAATGAGAGGAGGAAGTGGGTTTATATAGGGAAGGAACCGCGTGCTGGAGGGGAGGTTTGGTCTTTTTACCTCACCAAAAACCGCGCCTCCAGCACACGGTTTACGTTTCCCAATGCGCAAACCGCGCTTCAGGGCAACGGTTTCCTGTGGGCGACGCGGATCGCTCCGCGGGCAGGGTGTTAGGCCGTCAGATCGCCTGTCCATCGTGCGGTTGCATTGACCGCCACGTGGAGATGCGTTTTGTCAGCTGCCCAATGGCAAACCGCCCCTGGCCCGCGCGGTTTATAGGAAACTGTGGTAGATTTGGAAATTTTTGGGAATGGGTGGTATTTTTGTAATTTTTTTTAAAAATAGTGGTAATTTTGAATTTTTTCCACAATAAACGTGAAATTTTATAGCGATTCGAGTGATCAAATTTGCAATTAAGCCTTTTTTAAGTTATGTTAAAGCACGATATGCATAAATTATAATATCTTGAAATTTTTAGGAGCGAATTGTAATTTTGGTTTACATGTGAGATGTGACTGTAAAATCTTTATGCAGGTGGGCGACGCCACTAATCGACTCCGATTAAAGTCCTAAACTCGATTGTTTTATTTTACCCCTTCTCTTTGCCGCCAACTAGGGGAGCCAATTCAGCATCCTCCAAACAGCAAAAGGGCTTGAACTCGCTCTCCCGCTCAGTAGACTCGCTCCAGTCTCGACTCCCTCGAAGTGGAAATTGAAATTCTGATCGGCACTCTCCCGCTCAGTAGACTCGCTCCGGTCTCAGTCCTTCGAAGTGCAAATTCTTCCGTTGCCGTCTTTGCAATCAGAAATGGTATCCCTCTCTCGACGGCGATTGAGTTATTGATGAGATCTTTCGAACTAGTCTGATCCCTTTCTCTGTGTTCTCTCTGTTTCACAGAATTCAGTTCTTGGGCTCTCTCTCTCGTTTCCAGTTCGGTAGACTCGTTCCTCTTTTTTGTTGGCTTTGGGCTCTCCAAACGGAGGAAAGACTCGTGAAATCGCTCTCCCTCAGTAGGCTTCACTCCTATCAGCAACCCCTCCCTCGGCGGCGACGGAGCTCCGGTAAGCCTTCGGCGACTACTCTGTGTCTTTCTCGTTCCGTTCTGTTTTCCGGGAATATATTATTGGGTCTTGCTTGGATAATGGCGCGTTTCTTTCCATTCCCCTCCCCTCTTCGTTGAATTGCCGTTTGCTTCTGTGTGATGTACCTTTCAATTCATCTCCCGGATCTTTGATTACTGAATTAGGTTTGGAAAGAAAACTCGGTTGTTCTGAAGGGTTTTGTGGGATGGGTTTCTTCAGATAGGGGTTATTCTGTGGTTATCGTCGAAAGTGAAATTTGTTGCCTTTCTTTTCTATGGTTCGATTGGTTTTTGCCGTGTGATTGGTCTCTGGGAAAATTGAGTTGGGAAAAGGTGTGTTGAGCCTTGTCTTTGACTTCTTGGGTTTTTCGATTTTTCTGGGGGCTTTTGGTTGATCTTGTGATTATAGGTTTCTGATTTCCCTACTGAGTTTATGCGCAGAATTCCTTGATTTTCCCCTACCTTGTTCACGGCCCAACTCATTATCCTAGCATGTTATATTCCAGGTCCTCAAGCACTTGATACCGGACAGGTTATAGAATTGCTTCAGCAGACCACAAACACTGCTAGCTGTTCTGAAAAGATGTCTAAGTGTTCTGACGAGATGGTGCTTAAAAACCATTTGGCTAAGTTCTCGGCGAAGAAGGAAGAATGGTCTGCAGAGGTGGGGGGAAGTTATTGCCATTACAGCTAAGCTTGAAGATGACAGTGAAGAAATGCAGCAGTCTAGTAGAGGAGCTGGCTTGGGAAAGTGGTTATCTCATGAGCAGTTGCTTCTTCACCGTGATGACCATCTGGCAAAGCAAAAGGCTCTGCATTATGAACTGGAGGGGATGGCAGCATTGATAAGGGAAATTATACTGGAGAAGTACCATGATGTACTTGATGGGGATACTGATGTTAGTGCTAAACTAGAGGTAATTGATGGAGCTTCAAATGACCATGCTGATCTAGATGTTATAGGGAAAGAGGAAGTGGTCAAAGAGTTGAAAAAGGTGGAAAGTGATCTTGTTTCATACGTACAACAGAAGGCTGACATCCTGCAGCTTCTAAAGGATCCACCAACGGATTGTGGGCTTCCCAACCTCATTGATTAGTAAGCATTTTATCATTGATGCTAGTTAATTTGCTTGCTATTTTGTTGTGTTTACACTTGTTGACTGTTGAGTTACTCTTGTCAGCTTCATTGAAGTTGAACTGGCCATCAAAAGGGCCAAGAGTACAAGGAAAGTGCTAGTAGCTAAGCTTGGTCCACCGGTGGAAGGAAATGGCTGTTCTGCTACTGGAGAAAGTTCTGAATATGGTGCAGGTTCCGAAGTTCTGAATGTGGAGATTCAATCTAAGCAAGGACTAAAGCTTGTGGATTATCCGTCAGATAGAGACGAATGAGCTCGAGGAAATTATGCTTTTCGGTCTGTGGGATTGGACATCAGACGTTTTTGTTTACTTTGGAGAACAGTAGTTTCGAACGTTTACTTTTGGAACTTTCTTACTGTCATGAGAGTTTAAAATTTGTTCTCTTGTGGCCATTTTCGGGAGGTATGTTGTCTACCTGCAATGGTCATGTAAGCCATATCCTTTTTGAAGCTAATGTTGGAGCTCTTGGATTGCTTTTTTGGAAGCTAATTTTGTACAAACTATGAGCGGGACAAGTTTGCATATAATTGTAAGCTCAGATTTGTGTGGCTAGTTCAAAAGGGTTTCAATATACTCTATCGAAGGTAGAAGATTTATGTTCCGTTCTGTTTACAGTGTTGCTCTAAGTTGCATAAGTTTATTAATCAAGTAATGTGTCCTAGGATTGAGGGTCTATGGCCTATGGGTTAGATTATGCAGCAAGGGCTGCTGCTTACCTGGTCTTCTTAAGTGGTTAGTTTGTGGGGTTCCTGAGTCATAGAGGTGGACAATGCCCAGCCCCATTCCAGGCCCAGATCCTCTCGGCCTCTCCTCTGACCTCTGACCTCTCCCAACTAGTCTCGTAGAGAAGAAACAAGACAAAGACAAGGATCAGCTAAAGTGGATGAAGGAATGGAGAGTACAATGATCATCTTGTGCCCACAAATTTGATACGTGTTAATATATATTTTTTATAATCCCTACGTGTTACCATTTGATGTTGGTTCTTTTTGTCCCACAAATGTTATGCCCAACAATAATCCTCATTTTCATGTTGGTGGCGGCTTTCTCATTTTGTTATTGTTCGCATGTTGGCTGGGTATATACGGGTAGTTCGAGTACTCGTTATCGGTTCCATATGGGTAATGATTATCCGTTAATCCATACGAGTTCGGGACATGTGATGGAATTTACTCTCTAAATGGGATTGGGTATCCATTTTAAACGGGGCGGGTACCCAAATCTCGTCCTGTTGCCCACCCTTAATGAGTCACAGGGAAGGATCAAGTCAAGTGGGGTACTGGGGTGGGACGGGAGGGTGACTGGAAGGGTGAACAGAATTAAACTGTAACCCAGCATGTGTTCAACCCGATCCAATCCACCGATATTTAGTGTTAAAATTAAAGTTTAAGATTTGGTCATGATTTTATTTTGTGGAAACCGTCTCTTTTGGGTTGGGTGAGGATTTTTGTTTAGGTAACCCGTAAAAATCCGACCTAATCCATGTTACTACTATTTTCCTAAGTACTTTTGGACGTATTTGTGTTATATGCAAACATAGGTATAAGAAAATTAGGATATTTGGTCATGTTTTCTCTAGTGGTCTTGTTAGTTTAATGCATTCTTCAACTGGAAAATTTAGACTTATATTCAATATATGCTATGGTTAGTGTTGTATTTTTTGTGTACAAATTTAGAAGTATAACATATTATGGATAGGTTGGCTTATAATAAATAACCTATTAGCTTATTTCGTGAATATTTATGAAAAGTACTATAAATACGTCATGCATTTCATAGAAATCCAAACAATAACTTCTATGCATTTTGATGTTTTACCAGTTTAAATTAGTTAATCTGTTCTTTCTTATGATGTAGAATAAGGAAGTTGATAAAGTTCGTCTTGAAAATTACTAATGGTCGTCCTGAAAAACACCAAAGTTATACTTTAGCAAACAAACACCACTTTGACTAAGAAAATAAAAAAACACTTATTTTCCACATTCTCAAGTTCATCATCGACATTCTGGAGTTGTAATCGTCGGGAGTACGTCCGAATCATGAGTAGTGACTCCGACGGGGTCAAGATCCATAAAAAATAGAACAAATTAAAAAACCCCAAAACCCTCCAAACCAAAATGTTTTTTTGGTTGCACCATGGTTCAAACGAAAATGAGCTTCAGGTGCACCATAGGCAAACGAAAGTGGGTTTACCTAAATTTGGGACTTTTTCCAGAATACCACTGTTTAAAAAAAGAATTTCAAAAACTGCCACCCCACCCTGCAGTTTACACGAAAACCGCTGGGCGGGGCGCTGTTTGCTATGCAAACCGCTGGGTTAAAGGGCGGTTATAAAAACAGTTGGGTGGGGCGGCGGTTTTGGGCCAAACCGCCAACCCACCCAGCGGTTTGGTCCAAAAAAAAAAATTCGATCAACTCCTAACTTCGGCCGAAACTTCAAACGAACGTAACTTTGCACTCGCGTATCCGATTGTAGCGATTTTTTTGGAAGCCGAATAACTTTTTGAGATCTACAACTTCTACTAGGATGAAATTTTCAAAATAGGAATTAGTTGTGGATATACGGGACGATGGGAATAACTTTACCTTTACTTTTCATAAATCCATGTACATTTCGAAATTATGATTATCTTGAAAGTTGTAGATCTTGAAAAGTTATGTGGAATCAAAAAAAAATTCATGACGTTTGGATTTTGGAGCACAAAGTTAAGGCCGCCCAAAGTTTGACGAAATCAAAAAAAGGCTCGTTCGGAGTAGTAAATGACGTATTTTCGAGACGAAGGCGGGACGTAGGTTTGCGGCTTGCAAGATCTCGAAAAGTTATTCGAATTTAAAAAAAAATCGCTACGATCGGATACCCGAGTGCAAAGTTACGTTCGTTTGAAGTTTCGGCCGAAGTTAGGACTTGATCGGAAAAAAAAATTGGACCAAACCGCTGGGTGGGTGGGGGTTTGGCCTAAAACCGCCGCCCCACCCAGCGGTTTTTATAACCGCCCCTTAGCCCTGCGGTTTGCATAGAAAACCGCGCCCCCGCCCAGCAGTTTTTTTGTAAACCGCAGGATGGGGTGGTGGTTTTTGAAAAAGGGTGGTATTTTTGAAATTTTTTGGGGTTGGGTGGTATTTTTGGAATTTTTTTTTAACAGTGGTACTTTTGGATTTTTTCCCCTAAATTTGCTTCTTTTGAGTTTTTTGTGTATTTTGGTTTATACCAATATTTTCTATTCTTTTGCTATGGTTTATGGTTTTGTCCATAAGATAATTTTTTGGAGTTTGATTTATATAAGTTTTTTTATTTATTGCATAATTACTTGTGGAATTGAAGGATTTTTCATGAGAAATTAAGATTAGATGTATAGTATTTATCTATATCTATCTATCAATATATATATTAACTTATATTATGGCCGTTGTGGAGCAAGTTTTTGCCACGTAGGACAACGAAAGCTCCACAATTTTCCATGTCATTTTGTCATTTTTAGCATTTTAAGTTATTAATTACATTAAAATAAAACTAAATAAACATGCATATCAATCATAATCACCAAGATTTGAACATATGACCTATGAGGTCAAACTATCATCATTTCAAATGTTCAACCACCAGGATAAACTATATTTGATGCTATTAACCACAACAAAACATGTATATCAATCATCATAACTATGATTTAATCATGCAACCTAAAAGCTTAAACTATAATCATTTCAATTTCTTAACCAATAGAATAAAATATCTTTCATGCAATTAATCACATCTATTTTTTAACCAATAGAATAGCTATCACGGTTACAATTGTGTATTCTATTAACCACAACAAAACATGTATATCAATCATCATAACTATAATTTAATCATGCAACCTAAAAGCTCAAACTATAATCATTTCAATTTTTTAACCAATAGAATAAAATAGTTTTCATGCAATTAATCACAACTATTTTTTAACCAATAGAATAGCTATCACGGTTACAATTGTGTATTCTATTTTGTAGCATTGATAAGAAAATTATTAACATCTACAAATAAATTATTTTTAGTTTATAATATGTTTCATAATTGTTTATAATTTCTTAAAAATAATTAAAAAATCTGAAAAAACATAAATTTAGTTGGTACACAATTATAAACTTTTACATAATTTGACATGTGATTTTTTTTAAAATTGAAATATGAAAAGTAAAGTATAATCTTCTTCCGCCTTCTAGAACACGAAGAATTTAACATTTTGTTTGTATGAACTACTATAAATATGTGAACCAATGTAGTTATGTTGCAATTTGTTAGAAAATACTTACTATAAATATCTGAAATAAATCAACATAGTTCATTCATATGCTACAGTGATATATACACAAAATTTCATGTGTTTAAGAATATCACTAGACACCAATGGTCACCAATTTTTTTGTATATTTTTCAAAACCGAATTATAGTCATATGGTTTAAATATGTTTGTGACCAATTGGTGAAAGAAGTTATAAAAAAGTCATGTACATATACATAATGCATTTGTCATTTTTAGGATTGAATTTGGCATTTCTTGCATATTGAAATGATATCATTATCTTTTATTTATGTTATTCCAACTTCTTTCTCTTTTCATTTTGCGTACGTCATTAATATTCTTCCATGCACAATTATAAACACATTGTCTTTACTTTTTTTCCTAATGTAATTATAATTCCTTTCTTTTCTCTTTTTATTGTTTGACATAAGTTACTTTCTTTTTCCTACATGAGTGTAGATATGCAACTTTGAGTCATATTCAGATGAATAACACATAAGTCAGGCAAGATTTGTAAACGAATCTTAAACTATTGGATATATGATGGTTGATATGTAAATAACTATTTTAATCCTTACTTAATGTGACACCCTAATACATATTACTATTACTATTTTTAGTAACCAGTTATACTCACCGGATAACATTACTCATAAGATAATGATTTATATCTTTTCCGTTACCTTTAAGAGTATAGTTCAAAATGACTTATTGTCCCTCTCATTGACCATGGCAAAACATGGAGTATTCAGATTCCCGTCACCCACTTCTCAGGCCTTACTGGCTTAACTTAACTGTCAAGATACATCCGATATGATATATCTTATTCAGTCAAATAAACATTCATTCATCACCACATGCCATATCACATTCATCATCTCAAACTCAAAGAATTCATACATCACAACATAAGGACCATCACCCAGTCTCTTGATAACTCACTGTTTATACAAGTATGCATCAAATATCACATCATACTGGCATTAGCATGTAACCCCTGTCCCAACAAAGCAAAACATCATATCATCCAATCTTAAATCATTTTATAAAACACCATAAAAAAACCATCATCATCGACATGCACATTTCATATATCACATCATAGAAAGTCATCACTTAACCACATCATAAGTAATATTTATACAATGATTTAATCACATGCATGGTTAGTATAGTAGATGACATGCATACCACCACAGATCGTACCTAGACTGGTGTCCTATAAATCTATTGCGGATCATACTCTAACCGATGTCATGTATACTAGGGTGGGACGTACCAGACCGATGTCCTGTAAAACCAACGCAGGATCACATCATGACGATGTCCTGTAACAGTTACTATACTGACTGGACAATAGAGCACCTTTATGTTTGTATTAAGTTATCACACAATTCCAGTTACAGTTAGTCACATATTAAATATTGGAGGATAATGTGAAGTGAAGACAAAGTTCTCCATAACTAACATTTGCTTTGATATAATTCGTACAATGTTGAAGGCAAAAAGCATAGCAGAATAGTTTGGTTGTACATTGATATAATGGTGGAAAAGGCTAGCATACACTCGAGGTGTAATATGCACCTTCATTCATACCTATTAGTTGTATGTTAATATATTTTGACAAATAGAATCGGTGGTTATTATTTTTCATTAAATGAATCGTACGATTTGGATTAGAGAATTAAAGACTTTGTTTCACCTATTAGAGAATATGGTATAACATCATGTGCCAAATTCCGTTAATTCATGGTCTAAATACCAACTCTATAGGAGTACGGTAAGGTGGCGTACACGAGTTTAAACCATGTACAACTTATGAAGTTGACAATTGTTGGTCAATCCAAGATCTTATGGTCATGAATAATATTTTCCAAACAGTGATGAAGTTACAATGTTGTTTGACTTTATTGTTGATCATCATTAAAACCTAGAGTACAATCATAAATAAATATGAAAAGTAGGAATCTGATACCATTGGAAAAATGACAAACAATAGAAGGAAAAGTACAAACAAATGAACTCGCCGCCCATCGGGCGGGCACAAAACTAGTATATATTGTGACAATTCAAAAGTAACTTCTTGCCACATAAGCACTTGGAGAATTCACAAGTTGCCAAAGTGGACAACTTTTTTTGAAAACAAAAATTCATTATTGATCTATTTATGGAGCTATCTCTCTCTCTTCTTTTAATATTTCTACTCATTTTTACTAAAAATTAATAAGAAATTACATTTTTATGAGAATGTAAACAAACAAACCAAAGTATTATATTTTCTTCAATTAAAAAAAATATAAAGATGGATATAGAGAGTGACTATATAGAATTTGTTTAAATAAAAAGTATATGATTAAATCTTATCAAGTAAATTTTCTGCTCATTTTCACCAAAACATAATAATAAGTTACATTTTGACAAAAATAAAAAAGTACACATATATAATAATATTTGTGTCAATTAAACAAAATATTACAATAGAAACATTGAAAACAAATGATTAAAAAAGTACACATATATAATAATATTTGTATCAATTAAGCAAAATATTGCAATACAAACATTGAAAACAAATGATTAAAAAAGTACACACATATATAATAATATTTTTATCAATCGGCTTTAAAAATGAAATATATGAATTTAGATTTTTTGTATTAACAACTCTCTTATTTCAAATGTATTTTTTTCGTTGAATTATTTTTAATATATATTTCTATCAAATAAAACAAGTCTTATATAACAAAAGGTCTGAATATAAACTTGACTAAGCAATACTAGTTCTTTCTTTAAAAAAACTTCTAATTCATCATGATTAAGTGAAAACATATATTCATGTTCTACCTTCAATTTCTCTAACTTAAGAGGAATCAGGTGTGCAATACTTTATAATTTGTCCTAGGGTTCATATTAAAATATTCACTCTATATCATATTAATTGAACAATCTCTGTTGAGGTCATAAGTCGAATGCTAAGTAATATTTTTTTCATATTTGGAGTTATTGTCAAACATTATTACATCAAAGTTTTCAAAATGACTTAAATATGATTTTGACGAGTTTTGACTTCATACCTAGGATGAGAGACAACATCACTTAAAAAACAACACGTGTGAAGGTTAAGAAAATCTTCGTTGAGGATATACAGTAAACATCACGTTTCATCAACCACTAACCTTGGCATTGATCAAATAAGGGTTGAAAAAATTTATTTAATAGTTGGTGTTTTGGTAGACAAATCTAAATTCGAGGATTGAGGCAATAAATAAACATATGTGTGTTAGTTGAGATATCTAAACAAAAAACTTTTGTAGCTATAAGAATCTAAATTGAGGTATTGTGTTAAAATACAGAATATTTAATAGGGATGAGTTTAGTAAGGCAATTGTAAGAAAACATTAGGGTCGTTTGCTTTGTGAATTTGAAAGCTGAAGGATTTAATAAAACTTGGATTTTGTAAAAGCCTGGATATATGAGGGTTTTTGGTTCATTATGGATTTGAATACCAGATTTCGTTTCATAGATTCCATGATGCATTTGGTTAATTGAATTTGTATGTTGGAAGTGAAAATGACATATATTACCCTCATTGGTATGAGAAGAGAAATGAAATATAAGGGGTAGGTTGGTCATAAATAATAGACTTTAAAGTCCATGATCAATTTCCATCTAAAGAGGTGAAATTTTCAAGTCGTGGAGCCCACGAATTTGAAATCTTAAAATACATGAGACCCACATATTTGTTGCCTCTAAATACATGAAGCATACAATGGTTGCACAAAGTTCACGATAGCACCAAATTCATCAAGCAAACAACCCCAGCTATATGGTTGTAAGTCTGTGACTCCATACCAAATTTTGGCAATAACAAAAACTTTTTCAATATCGAAGTCTCAAAATGGAAATATTTTGGTTTGTAACAGTAAGCAATTTGTATTTAGAACGAGTTATCCTAGCCACAAAATTTCGTTTTCATATTTCAGTCGATTAGCCGAGTTCAAAGGTATTAATTAGGGTTAAAAATTAAAATAAAATCGTCATACATATTCTTAGATATTAATAGATATGTC